CTGACTTCCAGTTGCCGCTGAAGGAGATAGTTGGCGATCCAGCTTAGAACAAGTAAACCTATTTCTTAAGTTGTAACTTACAATAGAGTATACGATAATCATGATGGTCACATTCATTCGAGAAATCCAGGTAGATCAAATCAACATCCTCTCCACCGTCTGCTGACTAGGTACCGCTACTCCGGGCTGTTAACGAATTTGTTGTGCACCAGCAATTTTGAGGGAAGTCGTGCTGCTCAGTATTAATAATGGTCAAATTGATTGGCTGATTGTTCGCTGAGCTCGGCAGGTTGACTGCAAACGTTTCGTCACCACTCGAGGTGACATCGTCAGTGCGAGTGTATTAGCAGTGTGGCGCGTACAGGCGTCGGTGAGTGTGAGTGATCCATCTCCTAGCCGCTACTCTGAGTTTGGATTGTTCGACGAGCACATGACCATAGAAATCGATCTCTGATTCTCACCTCGTAGTGTACGCGCGTGGGACTCTTCGCTTGTCGTCGTTAGATGCAGTAGTCTAGCGCTCTTTTCCGTTAGATTTCTTCTAGTATTTCGGTGATCTTTCATTCGTAATGCCGTATATATAGCATCTATTTCAACATGTCGGTTTATTGAACTGTCGGTAGAATACCATGCCTCCAAGAATTCTCTAGCTTGCCTCGAATTTCCACGGGCTAGGATCTTAACGTTCTCTAGACCGAAGTGGTGGCCTTCCTGGTCTTCATGCATGGAAACTAATGAATGCGGGTCGTGTCTCCGTATGGCCATTCTGTGTTCCTTGATCCGTGTTGATAGTTTCCTTCCAGTTTGTCCGATGTAGTGTTTGTCACACACTTTGCAGTTAATATTGTAGATGACCTCCTTCTGACTGCCTTGTTTAACTGAAGCAATCTTCGTAGAGTACCTGTTGGTTTGTGGGCTACCAAGATTCTATGTATATATACGGCATTACGAATGAAAGACCACCGAATTACTAGAAGAAACCTAACGGAAAAGAGCGCTAGACTACTGCATCTAACGACGACAAGCGAAGAGTCCCACGCGCGTACACTACGGGGTGAGAAGCAGAGATCGATTTCTATGGTCATGTGCTCGTCGAACAATCCAAACTCAGAGTAGCGGCTAGGAAATGGATCACTCACACTCACCGACGCCTCGTACGCGCCACACTGCTAAATACACTCGCACTGACGATGACACCTCGAGTGGTGACGAAACGTTTGCAGTCAACCTGCCGAGCTCAGCGAACAATCAGCCAATCAACTAAACAACCTGAGCTACCAACATTTGCTTCTATATTGCAATGGTCAAATTTTTAAGAAACAGTCCACCTGCGCATCGAATAAGATAGGTTCCATTACCTTAGAAAATAGAGTGAGGAGGTAACTCGGGCGGTCATTTGAAACCTCGGTTCTGCTTCCACATTTTTGAATGGATGTTCGTATTTCAAACTTTCGCATGGCAGGATAATGCTTATGGTCTAAGCAGCGCTGGAAGAACTAAGCCAGTGGCTTTGCCAATTAACTTGCTGCTGCTCCCAGTGCCTCTAGGCAAATAGTATCGACACCCGTGGATTTGTGCTTGAGCATAGTAGTCAGCTTATACGAAAAAGCTTCTGTGGTAAAGGGGATGTGGGTGGGTCCCGGCGGCGGGTCAATAAAAGCTGGAGGCTCACCCGCTGGAAATACTCAATGGAAGGTGAGGGCATATTGCATCCGCAGCGCGTTTGCTGTTTCCGTAACCGCTCGTGTTGGGCTTTCAGCCGCCGTGAGTGGCGTAACGCCTTGCCTCACCTTCCGCAGACAATTGACGTGAATATACAGCAGTTTGTGATTGGCGCTGACGGTTTTCGTCAGGTTCTGGTGATGCACGGCCTTTTCCTCTCGGAGCAGTTGAGTGCAGTTGTTTCGTTGGGCTACGTACTTAACTCAACTTTCTGGTGATGGGGATAACCTATAGTTTCCTCACGCTACATTGCGTACTGCCGGCCATTTTCGAGCTCTGCTCCTTACGTAAGTAACTGATGCATACCGTATTCAAACTATTGTCTCTGAATCATTCGTAACCAGCCGATTGAATATGTTTATGAAATAGAGCCAGACGACCTCCAGGAGATCTTCGGCGAGGAACGACCAGATTGTTGCTTTGATGAGGTGGATTAATCGGTCGTAGCATGTAATGCTTTGAGCCGTCGCATGGTCCGAATCTCGGTATTCTGCATTGCAAAGGAAGTTGAAACGAATAACTGAGTGATCACTACGACGTAACAGGCAGTCTACAACAAACACATCAATCACAAGTTCTTCGTTGGTAAGCACGAGATCAAGCACAGATTACCTATTACCTGTTTTGAACCGATTGTAGGAAGTGACATGAATATTAAGCGAAACACTATTTAAAAGCTCCTTTAGACCGACTTAGAACTGTTCTCCGCTCGTAGCACGGGTTGCTAAACGGTACATATTGGAATCAATCATGTTCAACATGTGAGCATGTCATCCTCTTAGAGTTCGCCGTAGGACAGTCGCAATTTGGTAGTCCGTTTCAGATGTAGAGTTAGGGGGACGGTACTCTAAGGCAAGTGTATTTGTTGCTTAACTGCAGGCGACACTACAGTGAATCAGTAATCAACTAATCTGAATCCACCATGACCTCGCACGGTAAGTCGCTTCAATAATATAGAATTACGCCTTCCCCTTTTTCAATCTGTCGTTCCGAATGAGTGACATGCAAACTAGCATCATTTCAGCCTACGTCATTTCAGTGTGTAATCACATCTGCGTGATGCCGATGATAACATATTTCTGGAAAATTTGGCCATCTTTCAGTTCTGCCCACTTAGTGTAGAGGCCCGGATCATTCGTGTACCAGCAGGCTAGTTCATCCATCTCAAGTAAACCACAATGGTCCCGAACTCAGGTGTGTGGGAGTGTCGATCGATGTGAGGTCGGTCGTTATTCGTATTTTGTTGAGGTACTGACATTACTTCCGTACTCCTCTCTGGCCAAGGCAAGCCCCAACTCACATCTGGATCTAAGTCAGTATCGGGTAAAGGAGAAATCATCGCTGGTACGTCCGCTTTTTCAGATGATTTCCTAACTGCACGTTGTGAAACTCATGCATTCCTTAAAACTAAGTTCCAATGGGAAGCTTTTTGGATTTTGCGCCAACAATCTAACACATGCTTCGCGGCTTAATCGGTCTGAACCAAGAGATTTTTATTCTCATGCTGCATCCTCTGTAACTTGGAGAGAGAGGTAACCTTTTGAGTAGTCGCGCCGCAATATTATCCAAGGAAAGGTTTTCGCGGATGAGTCGCCATTGTTCAAAATCCTGATTTCCGGCGCCTTTGCTATCACGTGAAGGGCGCTCTGGAATACCATAGATGAATATATTGTTTAGGCGATCAGGCTTGCTGTGACCTTCTTCGGAGTTCATTTTCGTCTGTTGTATGTTCCACGGAACATCAGGATATATATGTATCCCACACGATCAATGTTGCAGCTCGTTTGTAGAGAACAGAAAGTTTTCCACATCAGTTGAGAATCCTAGTTTTGCTGGAATAATTCTGGGCGTGTCAAAGTGTACAGAGTTTCTAGTGATGCGTAATTCGTACTAAGCTTTTGGCTTTGGTTTTAACTTCCATCAGAAAACACAGTGACTCCCATTGGTTTAGGTCGTCGGACAATTTATCTTACCATGTGAAAGCTTCGGAATCGGGTAAGGTCGGGCACGCATCAGACAGAGTACCATTGTTAAATCCCCAAAATAGCTGAAATCGTGGGCACCTGCATCCCTGGGAACGAGCTCTGGGGGAACGGTCCCGATCATATATAGACTTTCACATAAAGCCATCTTATTTATGCGGAATAATCATGAGGTGCCGGGAGCCTTGTCAGATTATTCAACCAGTATCAATAAAGCACATATCATACTGAATCTGTACTCTCCTGATAGCACTCTTTGCTTTCATTTCTTTAATCGGACGGACAACGCTCAGTGCCGTGTTATGACCTAGTATCACCTGACCACTTTCCTTCTCTCTGACTGAAGATATGACTACCAAAATGCAAAGAGTTTAAGATTTCCAGACGCATTGCTAAATTCCCCACACCTTGGCAGCCTGTTGGAATTTACCCATTATTAAAGTATTCTTTTCCTTCCATAACCTGTTCAATGCTGCTGTACCTCCCTCTTTGTCTTCCCACCTTAACTATAATACTCAAGTTCAATGCGTCGACTAACACAGTCGCGAAAGATCAGTCTCCTGCTCTCCGAATTCTCTCAGACTACAAGGACGTTATTGGGCAATAATAGGAATTCGGAACGCTCTATCCCCCATAACACAAGAGCCTCGTTGTCTTTCCCACACCTTATCAATAAAACTTTTTCCATTCCGACTCTGTTATTTCCTTGCTGCGCTCTTCAATACTTCTTCAATCGGACAGCCAACACTCAGTGCCCTGATCCAACATAGTATCATCCGACTCGTCTTCTTCCATAACTGCTTCCAGACTACCGACATATAACTGTTCTAGGTTCTGCTTAACTGGCTCAAGCTTAATATAGATCCTTTCATCCATAAGCTGACCATTTCTGCTGAGAAACCCCATTTATCTTCCCTTGTTAGCTGCACGGCTCAGTGTCAATGTGCAGACTAATCCACTTTCTTATGAGCAGTCTCCTGCTCTCCGACATCCGTCAGACTAGTGCGAAGTTATCCGCCAATATTCGGAAGAACGAACACGCTGTCTTCATTAACTAGTGAGCCACGTTGACTTTTCCACACCCTATCGGTAAACCACGTCCTATCGCAAACCTTTCTGCTCCTTACCGCGCCCTTTGCTTTCATGTATTTTTCATCCAGACTGCCAACTCCCAGTGCTTGACATTAACCTAGTCTCATCTGATCAGTTTGCTACACTTTGACTTAGTCAATTGTACCGAGATATAAACGGTTCAGGCTCTATAGACTCTAATCTATGTCTCCTCATCTTGACAGCTTCAGTTCAGATGGGGACTGGAACGATAGGAAAATCCCGTGAGTGTTCCATCTTGAGTGGATCGTTGAGCCAGGAATTGATGAAGTGCTCAGTTATTGATGGATCTAAAACGGAAACACCCGTATCGCACCCTGGCCAACCATTTAATGCCCACGTTTCCTGCCCTAGCAGTCCCTGCTGTGGCAGTCACGTGAAGTAAGCAAAGGATAGGAAGAGAAATCGAAGGTACAGAATAGGGAAGTGCACTTAAATAAGAAAATAATACCAATACGTGAAGAAAAGTAGAGAAAAGGAAATCGAAGTACGAAGATGCGAGTTACTCAGGAAAATGGAAAGGTTTCGTGTTGCCACCCAAGAGCGTCAAGTTGCCGCTCAAACCCCTTAACCGTAGATTCCCTGATAACACTTTCCGGAAGCATGTTCCAGCGGTCGATAACTCGGCGTGACAGCCGGATTTCCGCCCTAATCCGATCGGACCGCGGTTTGTCCAGCTTCAACGAATGACCGCGTAGAACAGACAATCTAGCGGGACTGAATAGCCAAGACAAATCTGGACCAACCTTCCCAGTCAAGATACGGTAGGTTAGGATTAGGTCTCCTCTAAGCCTTCGGTAGTGCATTGAATGCATTCCCAAACTAAGTAGACGCTCGGGGTACGTCCGTCCCCGTAATCCCTCGACTAACCTAGTACCCACTCGTAAAACCCTCTCTAGCTCCATTTTGTCCCGGACGAGGCAGGGCGGACAAGCCTGGACGCAGTATTCCAGATGAGGGCGAACGAAAGCCGAGAACAGCCTCGTAAAGATGCCGCCCGTCAAGACTCCGAAAGAACGTCGGATTAACCACAACATGCGTAAACCTCTGCTTGCGGCCTTCTTCCAGTTGTCGCCGGAGTGTAACGCCGAAGAGTGTACGACGCCTAGGTCAACCTGGCTAGATACACGGGGGAGTTCGACCCCACCGACCAAGTACTTCGCAGGAGGACAACCTCCTCCAATTCGAAGAACGGAGCACTTTGCCTGATTTATGGGCAGTAACCATAAAGTAGACCAGTCCCAAAGCTTATCCAATGCTCGCTGAATAGCTTCGGAACCCCCAGGAACATCAACAATGTTCCACAGCTTCAGGTCATCAGCAAATAGCAGCGATGGTACCTCAAGCTCCGTGGGTAGGTCATTCACATAGATAGAGAACAACAGCGGTCCAAGGACCGAGCCCTGCGGCACGCCGCTGAGGACAGACTGCCTAAATGACAGACCCCGGCCTACCCGTACACATTGTTCTCTACCCTCCAAGAAGGCAGTCACCCAATGAAGGGCGCGGCCAGATACCCCGTAGGAGGACAGCTTTTGCGCGAGCCTCAAATGGGGTACCTTGTCAAATGCCTTCGAAAAGTCGACGAAAAGCACGTCCAGCGTGTGGCCGTTATCCACTGCATCCGCCCAATTTTCGCGAGCCACCAACAGATTCGTCAGACACGAAAATCCCTTCCGGAATCCGTGTTGTACATTGCTAAGTAGATTAAATCTACTCAGATGACTCTCCAATGAATCTCTCACCAGTTTCTCGAGGAGTTTGACTACTACACTCGTCAGACTAACTGGCCTGTAATTTGCAGGCAGACCCCTGTCCCCATGTTTAAAGATGGGACAGATGACAGCTTCCTTCCATTCGGAAGGCAATGCACAACTGTCAAGCGATTTCTGAAACACAATAGCGAGCGGTCCACTTAGTTCAGCAGCCAACTCATGCAACAGTTTCGGGTGAATTAAATCAGGCCCAGAGGCCTTAGAAGGGTTCAGCCCTTGTAACAGCCTACGAACTGCAGTCTCCGCTACAATAAATTCAGATAGTTCTGAACCCTCTGGAGTCCTGCAAGCCAGCTCAACGCCTGTCAAAGAGGTTTCCCTTACAAACGCTGCCGCATATTGCCCACTGAGTACGCAGGCCTTGTCATAATCCGTATGCGCATGAGTACCGTCATCACGCATCAATACTGGAATTGACATGTTCGAACCGCAGCGCCTTTTGACATAAGCGAAGAATCTTTTTGGATTCTCTGAAGCTTCGTCCGCTAACCCTTTTTCAAAATTGAGCCGAGCATCCCTTAGGTGTTGCTTACACCTATTTCTAGCTTTACGGTACCTGTCATAAGTATCGGTAGACGGGGCGTCTCGGTAAGTCCGCCAACATCTAGATCTCTTTGTGAGCAGATGCCTGCCAGTGGGATCTATCCAGGGCGGCTGTGCTCGGGCCTCCTTTCTCCTTGTGACTGGTATGAAGGGAGCAGAGACCTCTGTGAGGTAGGACTTAAATTTATCCCAGGCAACCTGGACAGTATCGTCGTCTGAGATCTCACAATGGAAACCAGAAGCCTTGGCTCTCATTGATTGATAGTCTGCTTGCCATATGTTCGGGCGAGACTCAACAGTACTCTGGTAGCGTCTAGACAGAGTACAATTGAAGAGCAAACAAACATGATCACTGGAACCCAGTGGAGGTCCGTAAGTAATGTCATCAACAAAATCGAGTGACTTAGCGAATACAAGGTCTAAGATAGACGGTACTTGGGCGTCCATGTACCTAGTGGGGAGGTCAATGAACTGGTGCAAAGATACTTGGAGCGTAAGTTCAAGCAGATCAGCGCCGAATGTGCCTGACGCTGAGTCGCAAGAAAGATCTGCCCAACAAATCTCTGGGAGGTTGAAGTCGCCCATCACCAAACACTTATTTGCGGACTGTGAGCGAATGAAGTCAAGTACCTCTTTGGATACGCTCCCAGGGCTTCTATACACAATTACAACTGTAACCTGAGCCGAGGATGTGCTAATAACAGCCGATAGAGCTTCAACTGTTTTGTCTGCTGACTGAAATAAGCAAGTCTTCAAAACGTCAAGTTTACAGCTCACATAAAGAGCGACGCCCCCTCCCTGTCGGCCAGCAGAGCGATCGCATCTAAATAGTGCGTAGCCAGATAGATGTACTTCACCATCCGTGATGTCCTGAGACAGCCACGTTTCAGTGAATGCGAGTATATCGGGATGAGACCCATCTACAAGCAGACCTAACTCGTACACCTTATTCCTTAGGCTGCGCACATTACTTAGCACTATCTGAAGTTTTTCGTTAGATCCAGACCTGGGTCGTGCGCTACCAGTACTGGCACTGGTAGGGCGGAAAAGGACCGCCGGCTGACCACCCGAAAACCCACTAACCGGAGACCTTGTTCACCGGCCGCTCGCCTGCTTTTGAGGTCCTTGATGGCGTCCCTTAGCTTCAGCCTATCGGCTAGCGGAAGGTCCGGCTGAACGCTAATGTTTGTACCTTTCAGCTTAAACGCAAACCGCATGAGAGCATTGCGTTCCTCCGGGGTAGAGAGTACCACACGAAGTAGCCGCGGTCGCGGGTTTGGTACGTTAACTGGGACGTTTCCCAGTCTAATCAGCTTCCTGACAGTAACGCCTGGAAAACCAGGCGGAAGAAGCCTCGTTACGCACATTTTAAACCATTGAAGGTCGTCCAACATGCGATCAGCGTGAAGGACAGCAGTAGATTCAGCCGCGTTACGGAATATAACGCTACTATCCGTGAAAGAATCGCCACGACGGGGTGTATTAACCCCACGGGTCTTTGATTCGGCACTCGGAGCAGGTGGCTTCACTACTGGTGATGGAACTGTCTTTAGCCCCTCCGATGATGTAGCAACGGCAGCGTATGTTTTTCGCTCCATTGTCGATGTCTTACTTTTGTTAGGGTCCACGATTTCACCGGAAGGCTTTATAGCAGATTTTGTCTGCTTTTTCTTCTTGATAACAGGAGTAGGGTCCCGTGGGGCTTTTTCGCTTTGAGCAGAATCAAGCACACCTTCAGAATAGGTCTTCTCGGTGAGAACCAAGATTTCCGGCAACTTCGGCTTGTTAGACTAGTTCACCCTATGTTAATATAGGCATTTCTATCTCTGACCTGTCCATTTCTTCAGACTCGCTCCATTTATCATTCCCAAGTAACTGTAAGAAAGCAATCTCAATGCGCCGAGTAATCAAGTCTCGTCTGACCCGTCTCTTCATCTCCGACTTTGTAACGTTCCCGGCTATTGTTCGGAAGATTGAACACTACGTCCCATTAGCTGGAGGGCCACGTTGACTTTCTCACTTATTATGTATAAATTTCTTTCAATCTCGACTCGGTCCTCTCCTTATCGCGCTCTATCTTTATTTCTTCTTCAACTGCGGAGGCAGCCCTCAATACCCTACCCTATTATCCTTCTTTTTACCTGCTCCTAGAGTATCGGAAGGTAAACGCACACAACTTCCCTTCACATCGCGAACCTGCTTGACTTGCCTAACCTATATGAATATAGCCTCTTCCATCCCTTAACTGTCCATTAATTGACCCACTCCATCTGTCTTCCAAACTTATCTGTACGACTCAATCTTATAGCGTCGACTAATCCAGTCTCGTCTGATCTGTTTTCGGTTTTCCGACTTCTCTCGGACTTCTGTGACTTAAGCTGCCCTTGATCTGAACACTGAACGCCCTACATCCCTTAATACGAGAGACTCGTTGGCTTCTTCACACCTTACCAATAAACGTTTATCCATCTAGACCCTGTCACTTACTTGCTGCGCTCTGTTTTCAATCCTCTTTTATCTAACAGCCAACACTCAGGGCCCTGCCCTAGCATAGTCTCATCTAAGCAGTCTGCTTCTCTCTGACTTTTTCCAGACTACCGCGATGTTAACATTCTAGACTCTGTAGACTCAAAGCTGTCTGTCTTACCTCGAAAGCCAGCACTTAGTGCCCTACCTTTGTCTACTTCTCTTTGGTTGCTCCTAGCTTACCGAAATTTAAACGTTGTAGGCTCTGAATAACCAACACAGGACTTCCCTTACAACGCTTACCCTATCTTCCATCCCTAACCTGTCCATTTCTGCTGACCCTCCCTCTTTGTCTTCCCACCTTAACTGTATGACAGTCTCAATGCGCCGACTAAACAAGTTTTATTGTGGAGGTTTGTGAGTATGTAATGTTCGTAGAAAGTAAAGTCACGATTAAACTTCACACTATTATCTGCCTCGACGGAGATTCGAACCACGGTCCAACGAATTTCCGGTTCGCTGTTCTACCACTGAGCTACCGAACGCTGGCGAATAGGTGCGCAATTTAATACATGACTTCTGCTTGTGTGAAGTTTAACCATAACTTGGCTGGCTAGCCGAACAACCTCCTCGTGATGCCAGCTGGGTGGTTCGGGATTTTCCCGTTCCAGCAAATCGTTCGGCGGCAGTGTTTAAGGATGTGGTGGGATTTCGCCTGGCAAGCGTTCTCCCTATAAAAAACCACAGATATCCGTTTAACAACACTGTGACGTGGCGGATGTGACCCGCCACTAAATAAAGTCACTGCCTCTTCCCTTTTCCGGAGAATCATTCACATGTCACGAACGACATCTGCTTCAAAGCTTTCCATTGACCCCCCTTTGATGGCGAACACAACGAACAAAAACACACACAGAGTCACATTTACCTACTCACACTACATGCCCCCTCCAAATACACAGTTAAACATACTTTCACATGTCAACACACACATAAATTCCTATGCCATTTGTCAAAATGCACTAATTTGTGCAATTGCCGATCATACATGTCTGTGTTACCATGATCAT